AATCTGTTCCCATGAAACCCCACATTGTCCAAGATAAAGTGCGACTTTAAACAGCTATTGGCATGCTAAGTAAATTGTGCCACATGGTCAAAGGAGCAGATCTCATTTTCACGAGTTACTTTTGACATCTACTTGATTTTCATCAACCAGATATGTGGCAATCAGAATCCACTCCTATTGGTACAAATTGCATAATTCCCAGATGTTTGGAATGATTCTTGGTCCTGAATGTGTCCTTGACTTGTTAGAAAATTAATTTGCAATCTGGACAGATAAAGTACACAAATGTCTTAAATAAATGTTCTTGCAATTTTGGAAAGAAAGCCTTATAAAGAACCCATGTCCTCCTTTTCATTCTGACCTTGTCTCTAAATCCTTTCATACAATGCATGTTATTGGTGTCACTAGAATTTTTTCCACTAAGTGGAAAATACAATTTCAGCCTTAATTATCGAGAACATAATCCGTTGTGGTTTAATTGATGTGAAAATTACCTAAGTAATGTGAAATTCATATCAAGAGAGAAATTTGTGAAGTAATTTAACACGTCAATTGATTTATAAACCTCATAATTCCTCAAATCACAAACCTAATATAGCTTGCTTTTAATGACCGTGTTGTTTGCAAAAGTCCAATATTGTTTGCTCAACATGTTCAACAGCTGATTTTCGGTAGTTTGCTCTATGCAATAGTTAAGTGAGAAAATGTAAATAGGGTAAATGTAAATAGTGTAAATGTAAATAGTGTTACATTTCCAGTGAAATCTAATACATATTATTTGTATATGTTTAATGTTCCTTTCCCATGCAGTTTTATTGAGGACCTAACAGAATTGAAGCATACTCAATTATTGTCAAGTAACAACAGAGACAGCACGGATTTTACCAAGTTGGTAGCTTGCCTCAGATGCATAACATTACTGAAAACAAACATTCAAGTGTCACATGAATTCCTTGGTACTCTTTTGACCTAAGTACTGCACTTCAACGTAGACTATCAGGTGAGACATCTTTTCATTTTTATACTTTCATATTTACGTTTTCAGGGAACACTGACGTTCTCTTAAAAACGGAACAATATTGGAGTGACTGCTCAAAGATCAGGAACCTGGGCTAATAAATAAATTTTTGAGACAGGCAGGGCAGTTTCTTGGGGTAGTGGCAGAAACTGGGGGTTGGGTTGGGTGAGTGGGGGCAGGAGAGAGAGGTGGGTGAATTAATTTCAAGGATTAAAATAGTTAGGTGGTTGTTGTTGACCAGCACAGACTCAATGGGCTAAAGGGCCTTTGTCCGTGCTGTAGACCAAGTTATGTTCCATCTTCCTTTAATCCTGTTCAAAATCCTGCTAAACACGTAAGATATTTACAGATAAAAGAAACTAGCTGCTTCAAATGTTTTATGCTTTTCTTTCCAGAGTCTTGTGGAATCACTAAAGCAAAGACAATGAGGTGCAGTTTTTCAGAATAGGATAGGTGAGTTTGGGTGCCTCTGGGGAGATCCCAATATCGTACAACCAATTTTTGGGTTTCACCTTGATGAGGTTTGAGGTGATTGGACAAAGCCCTTGGAACTGTTGGACTAGACATTTAAATATTTAGTTAGTTTATTGAATACTGTTATATTCAAGTATTCTAGCTCTAACAATTAGTGAGCCTATTTCCCAAGTTGTCATCAACTCATCAGGATCACTTAGATGATAGCATAACCGAGAGTACTTCTTCAGTGAAACTGACAGGCTGGGAAGCCTTTGATACGTGAAACTGAAGAGCTCCGACCACAGGCAGAAGCTGATGTGACATTTCCCAGAGAATGCTATCACTGCTTTACAATTATTGCTAACTTTCTGAAGGTCACTCCAGATGTCACACTTCACTATCTGTCGTTGCTGTTACAGTTCACTATGGCAGGGAAGTATTTTTCTGCAACTTAAATATGTAATGAGGACCAAGAGGTGCAGTAACAATGTCAGCAATGGTATGCTTTAGAAATACAGGTCCCACCTCTGCGCAGACAGCTTGAACATAGAGATCAACTTCCAAGGATCTGAAACCCCCAATACAGGATACAAAGGCAGAGGATCAATTCTCTTAATATGCATTTGACCAGTGCATCAGGATATCACAGGAGATCATTGCTAAGATCTGCAGCCTCTTTGACCATGACCTTGTTTCCAGTGGGCCAGGTGGGCACATATTACCATACAACATCAATGTGACCGTCACTGCAGAACCATTACCTCCCTCTGCCTCTCTATGCAAGGGTGTGTGCTGTTCTTATGCAAGGAAAGCAAGCAGAGATATGAATGTTAGAAATGGATATTTTAAAAAAATATTTACTCATGGGACATGTGCTGGCCAGCATATATTGCCCTTCCCAGCTGCCCTAGAACTGAGTGGCTTGCTCGGCGATTTCAGAGGGCAGTTAAGAGTCGACCACATTGTTGTGTCTGGAGTCACATATAGGCCAGAGCAGGTGAGGATGGCAGATTTCCTTCCCTGAATGATATTAGTGAGCTAAAATGGGTTTTTGCTAACAATCAGCAATGGTTGATTCTTAATTCCAGATAATTTTCTTTTAAGACTTCAAATTCCACCATTTGCCATGGCAGGATTTGAACATTTCCCCAGAACATTAGCCGAGTTTCTGGATTAATAGTCTAGTGATAATACCAGTAGGCCATCACTTCCCTTTTGAAGGGAAGAAGCAAGAAGAGCATTTGTGGAAAGTGACTGTGAGGCATGAGTCCAAGTTAGAAGAGCAATGGGATGATGGTGAGGGTAAAAGTTTGCTCGATTTTAAAAATTATCAGACATGGGATGTGGGTGTTGATGGTTGAGTCAGCATTTATTGCCCATCCTTGGGGGCCCTTCAGAAGGTAATGATGAACTGCCTTCTTCAATGTCTATTTGATGTAGGTACTCTAATGCCATTAGGGAGGAGTTCCAGGATTTTACTCCGTGACACTGAAAGAATGGCCAGATATTTCCAAATATGAATGTTAAGTGGCTTTGAAGGGAATGTGCAGGTGTTGCTGTTCCCATGTAATTGCTGCCTTTGTCGTTCTAGATGGCTGTGGTTATGAGGTTAGAAGGTGCTGTCAAAGAAACCTTGATGAATTTCAGCAAAGTATCTTGCAGATGGTATATGCTGCTGCTACTGAGCCTGAATGGTGTAGGGAGTGTATGTCTATGGATGTGCTACAAATCAAGCAGATAGCTTTCTACTGGATGGTGTTAAGCTTCTTGAATGTTATTGTAGCTGCACTCATCCAGACAAGTGGAGAGTATTCCACCACAGTCCTCATTTGTACCTTAAAGATGGTGGACAGGTTTTTGAGAGGCAGGAGGTGAGCTACTCACTGCAGTATTCCAGCTTCTCACCTACTTTTGTAGCCATTGTAATTATATGTATTGTACAGTTCAGTTTCTAGATATTGGTAACTGCCAGCATGTTGATTGGTGGGGTTTTCAGCAATGGAATGCCATTGAATGTCAAAGGACAATGGTTACATTCTCTCTTATTGGAGCTGACTGTTGCTTGGCACATGTTTGCTGTTAATATTACTTGCTAATTGTCAGCCCAAGTCTGGATGTTGTCCAGGTCTCTTACTGTATTTGGACTTGGAATTCTTCAGTACGTGAGGAGACATGAACAATGTTGAACATTGTGCAACCATCAGCAGACATCTGCTCTTCTGACCTGATGATGGAAGTGTAGTAGTCGTAACAAGGTCAGCCAGGTGGGCCTCATAAAATAGGAGTTCCCTGATTGGGGCTGCTAATCGATCTAATCAGGGAGCTCTGGCTAACAGATATAATCAGGAGTGTCAGAGATTCTATTCACTCTGAGAGCTGGCTATGAGGAATCTAAATCAGTGTCAAGGACTCTCCATGTCTAAGCAAAGGGTGACATGGTGACAGGATACCAGTCTCTGTGGAGTTATTTCAGGAAGGAAGGACATTGATGAAGCAGCTGAGGATGTTTGGGTCCAGTCATCACCCTTCGGAATTCTTGTGACATCCTGGTGCTGAGATGGCTGATCTTCAACAACTACAACTAACTTCCTATGTACCAGAAATGACTCCAACCAAGACAGAGCTTTCAACTGGATTCTCGTTGACTCCACTTTAGCTAGGGCTCCATGATGCCACACTCAACAAAATGCAAACTTGATGTCAAGCACATATATCTCACCTCATATGACAGGTTGAATTTGAAGTATCTGCAGAAAGCTGAGTGGTATAGCAAAGTGGCTTAGCCTGGGGAGTTCTATGCTGGAGAATGCTGGACAGAACTAAGGAATGGCAGCTGAAGGTGTGTATGATTCACCTTTCCCACCCTCTTGGCATACTGTCTCCAGTTTGCAGAGCCAGACTTCTGTTGCTGATTTTCTTGGTGTCTTCCATCTGCACATGCTTGTTTGGAGAGGTAGTCCTCTCTCTATAAAAGATCACCTCAGTACAATCCCCCAGATCCTGCAGCACAAACTCCAAGAAAGAAACTCTAGATCTCCACTTTATTCCTGTAGTTCCTGCTGCCTTGAAAGTCTAAGCGCTGTTAAGTGTCATTGCCAATGTCCCTTCGGCGAGAAAGCATTTCTTTGGTGGATGTGCACCTGATACCACTTGTGCTATCAGATTGATTAGTGCATTGAGTGGGAAAGCAGGAGATTTCAGTTCTTGATCTGCAACTACTCCCTGCATTTTAGCAGGCTAAGGGATGTTTGAATCCTTCAAACTCCTAACCTTAGTGTCGATATTGATGAATTCAGTGACTCAATGGCTGCTGAAGAAATGAAGGATAACTTATCACAATTTTTTAGATTACAACTGGCTACTTCTTGCTGTAGCTAATGAAATCATGGGCAATTAAAACTTTCTGTTAAAACAGTGCAATCAGGATTTTTGTCTACTTTTTCCTGAATGCTGAAAAATGAACACTTAATCAATTTGCAAGATGCAAATATAACAGTGTTAAAAATGTACAGTACAAGTAACTTACCAAGTGCAACAGTACCCATCAGGAAGGGTGTTCCAATGCTGGAGAAATCGTTGAATATTTCTTGATGGATCTCAGAGCCAACAACAAAGGTTACAATTACCTGAAAAGGAGAAGACAGAATTGTGCAAATAGACAGAGTCTCTTCTGAGAAAGATGACACAATGGGCGGAACATTCCTTGAATTGTGACAACAGGCTTCGAGCTGGGAACACTGAGTGGGGTGAGATTCAGAAAATAGTGAAGCCACGTTGGGATGACTACTAATACATTCTCACCTCTAGGGAGCTTTCTCAGATGTGGCTGGGAAGCAGATCAATTGTCCACAGTATGGAGCTAGGCAACCAATCAACATTATTACAGGCCCATCAACAGGCAACTTGAGGGACATTTTCCCAGCAGCAGAGTAAGCTCCCGAGTGGAGAGGCCACCATTTCGATGCAGTGGCCTTCCTGCAGCAGACTGGTAGACAATCAGAGCCTGAGGCTCCTAACTGTAAAGAGTGGGCTGCATTCATACAAAGCTGCAATCAGAGACAAGATCATTGGAAGGGTTTCTCCTCCACCCGATGAGCTACCAGTCTAGATCCTGGTTACCTATGGACTGACGTGCAGGCCAGCAACAATGCCTTGATTTCTCTGCTCTTGCTCCAGCAAGTGTTGTTCCAAACCTCCATTTGTTCCCAATATCACAACCTGAAACATGTGGCAAAATCCAGTGTTTCATATTGTAGAGTATTAAGCTTTTTCTGGTGAAATATTGAGTAATATTTTCATATAGTCCATATTCAAATTAAAATGACATAAATGATCTTAGATAATTCAGGTTTCTCATCATCTTCTGGAGTGCACATCCCATATATTTGTTCGTCAATTTTGAATAACTAATTACGGCAGAGTGTAAACTCACTGTGTCAACACAAAACAGCATGCTAGTATTAGCCCATGTTTATCAGTGTCACCCAAACTAACTGAAAAACTTTGAAATAATTTACACATTATGTGAACAATATTAGTGTAAGAGCAATGTCATTACAATAAAGGCATTGTTCACCTTCAGCTATGCCAGCAATGGGTAATAAGTATGCTCTTGTTCACTGTGCCTACATCTGATGAACAAATGATACAGTTAAGCATGTGAATTAATTCTTTTGCTTTGGGCAGTGGGGGATCCAACAAGATTGAAGATTTATTTGGCACTTAAGAGCAGCAAATATCTAAAAATATCATCAGCTCCTCAAAAGAAATGGGTTATGAATCAACCGAGCCTTCGGTTGGTTTGCTGAAAATCCATATGGGTTTAGTGTCTAAAATAAAGAACAGCATCAGGATTTGTTTGTCATTATTTCTACCAGAATAACTAATCACCTAACACTGACAGAAACTCAATGAAAGCATGGCTATTAATAACACTTGAAGTAATCTCTATTTAATGCCGATCACCAGTAAGATTAGCCTTGTTCATTCATGTTTCTATTCGCATTTTGGTGAAAACTATGAACATTAAAAGGAAGTGACAAAAGAAAATGTTCAAAACTCTGTGCACCAAAATTGAAAGGAGACAGGCCTCACTCAACAACTGGTTTTGATGATTTGCAACACAACTTGTATAAGGACGAAAAGCTCTTAAAATCAATTTCATTTTTAGTCTCTTAATGGTAATGGAAATTCCAGGTAATACTCTAGAGGTTCAACTCCAAGTCATCTTCTTCCTTGCAATTAATTTGTCAAGGTCTTTTAGCACACATGGGACCCCAATGAAAAATTAACCAGTGAAATAAGAAGGAACTCTTTCCTTTGAAACAGCAGTGTATACATGGAATACACTTCTCAAACTTGTACTTTACTGACCTACACGTTCCACTGCATCCAATTTAAAAGGCTCATTGCTTCATGGATAAGGTCTCACCCTTTCCTTCCTCCACAAATGAATCCACAAAACTTCACAACCAATCCTAATCCCATCCTACCCCAATACACTGCAGCCCAGATATCCCAAGGAGTGGCAATCATTATGAACAAACAGTTGTGAATTAATCTTCAACTAACATAGTGAATAAAATATGAAAGATCAGGTGGTATGTCAGTATTTTCTCACCTGAGCGAAGAAGTCCAAAACTTACTCAGAGCAAATGTGCAACAATATACACCAGGGTTAAATTTTGTTGATTTTTGTTTTTCACACATAGCAATTGACGAAAGTATTTCATTCGAAAACAAATATTTTAAAAATGCATTCTGTACATGTTTAGACCAAAGGAAAATAATTTGCAGAATATTATACTCACTGTGATGATTAACAGAGTTCCCTTTGCCAAGGTCAAAATGGATGTGATTGGCTGTATAATAACTTGAGCCAAAATAATTCCCAAAGACAAGATCCATGTGAAGAATGGAATGATATAGACATGCCTAAGTTTAAAGAAAATTATATAAATGTTGGAACTATTCTTCATAGTAATGATAATCAAAAATTTATAGGTCATATTTTGGAGCCGAAATCGTGGAGTAAGGAATTTCAACACTCAGTGCTGGCACCATTTCTAATTCAAATAAATGACTTGGATTTATTACTAATACAAAGAGGTCATATATGTACAGATTTTAAGATAATACCGACTTAGGTGAGGATAACGTGTTGTGAGGGAAGGGACTGTTAGTGATGGAAATGGAAGGGTAGATGGAAGTTATAAAGTAGTAGCTGTTGAACCACAAAAAAAAGCATCAATTTGGTTTGAATATATCGTTTAGAAATCTGAAATAGGAATCAAACCTGTGCTGAACCCATGCCCTTCTGGTTTCATCAGAGATGGGGTGAAGGGCTGGCACCCAAACTTCTCATAAGAGGTGAGACGATTGATGTAACATTTTGAGAACACTGTATGCTTCATTTAAAAAAAGTGAACCAGTTTGAACCACTGTGAACCAATTGTCTGATTTTTCGTTGCGTTGCAAGCTTTCCCACCCAATGAGCGGTCATCCTATCAACTCAGTCAGGCGGATTTTTTTAAATGCATTTTTGGGATGTGGTGCTTGCTGACTGGGCCAGCAGTTCACACAATCATAGAACCCTACAGTGGGGAAGCAGACCATTCGGCCCATCAAGTCCACATCGACCCTTTGAAGAGCATCCCACCACGTCTATATATCTACCCTATCCCTGAAACCATTTCCCATGGCTAATCCTCCTAACCTACACATCCCTGGACACTATGGGCAGTTTAGCCTAGCCAATCCACCTAACGTACTTCTTTGGACTGTGGGAGGAAACCAGAGCACCCGGAGGAAACCCACACAGATAGGGGCAGAAAGTGCAAACGAAGCTGGAATTGAACCAGGGTCCCTGAAGCTGTGAGGCAGCAGTGCTAACCACTGAGTCACCATGCCACCCATTCCCAACTGCCCTTGCGAACATGGTGATGAGCTGTCTCTTGAACCATTTGCAAAGATGTCTTGGAGCTGAGATGACTGACCCCCAACTACCACAGCCACCTGTCTTTTACTAGGTGTAACAGTGACCAGTAAACAATTTTCTTCTAATTACATTTGACCCCAGTTTTTCTAGGGCTCCTTAGTGCCATACTTGGTCAAATACAGTGTTGATGTCAAGGGCAATTGTGTTAACTCACCTCTGGAATTGAGCCCTTATGGCGGCTGCAATAAAAGCAGAAGTCGAGTGGTCCTAACCAAACCCAAACTGGGTATCAGTGATCAGGTTATTGCTAGGGAAGTGTTGCTTGATGCTGCTAACACCTTCCATCACTTCACCAATAATTGAGGGGTGACTGATGGATGGAATGGTAATTGAACTGGTTGGATTTGTCTCATTTTTTTTTGTACAAGACATACCTGGACATCTTTTCACATTGTTGATTAGTTACCAGTGCTGTAGCTGTACTGGGACAGCTTGGGTAAGGGTGCCAAAAGTTCTGGAGCTCACATCTTCTGTGCTATTCAGTACAGGATGTTGTCAGGGCCCATAACCTTTGAAGTATCCAGTGTCTCCAACCACTACTTCATATCAGGGGGACGGAATCAAATTTGCTAAAGACTGGCATCTGTGATGACCTCTGGAGGAGGCCAAGATGAATGATCTGCTCAGCACTTCTGCCTGAATACCGCTGCACATACTTCAGCCAGATTGTGCTCAAGTTACAATTCTGCTTCTAATGATGGTCCACAGCATCTCATGGATACCCAGATCTGTTCGAAGTCTGTCCCATTTTAACATAGTAATAGTGCCACACAACCTGATGGAGGGTATCCTCAATGCGAACACGGAGTCATGCAAGCACTATGCAGTGGTCACTCAATGCTACTTTGATGGACAGCATTTGCGGCAGGCAGATTGGTGAGGATGAGGTCAAGTACGCTTTTCCCTCTTTCAGTTCACTCTTCACATGCCACAGAAGCAGTCTGCTGGCTATGTCCTTTAGGACCTGACCAGCTCAGTCAGTATTGGTGCTGCTGTTCTACTCTCGGTGATGGACAGCGAAGTCTCCCACCCAGAATCCACAAGCAGTGGAAATGGACAGAAAAAATTTACAAGACATTGTATTGTTAAAAACTGAAGGATGACTAAGAAACACAGACTTCAGGCTTTTCACAGGAGGCAATAATCAAACATTAACTTTAATACAGTGACATTAAGAAAGAAGAGAAATACAAACATTGGAGGTATGCACAGGAAAGTTAGAAATTCGAGTGCCAGTATTTTGGTCCAATTGAAATACTCTAATAACTTGTAAAAATGTTGAAATTAGTCTTCATGTTGAATAGTTAAAATCTAAAGATTTTATCTGTAAAATGTGTTGGCAAGTAGGTCAATGTGATACAAAATTGTGTGTTCGTCCAGCACTACACCTTGTTATCTCAGATTCTCCAGCATCTGCAGTTCCTACTATCTCTGATACAATTTTAACCCCATGCGAAGCCTCTTCTAAGGATGCCTAGCCTGAAGAAGTTACCCTCCTCCCTCCGGAGGAACTTCAGGGGATCTCTCTGCCACTGCCTCTCCACCTATCTTCTCCTCTATCCATCTTCTATCCGCCTCCCCCTGTCTCCCTACTTATTTCAGAACCCCCTTCCCCTCCCCAATTTCTGAAGGGTCTAGGCCCGAAACATCAGCCTTCCTGCTCCTGTGATGCTGCTTGGCCTGATGCATAACACACTTTATGAAAAATACACCAATTATTTATTCAGCCCATTTACATTACTTGTTTTAATAACCTTCCCTGGTATCTCAGTTCACAACTTTCTTATTCTTGGGCTAAAATTTTCTACTTGATTTCCTGCTCTATTCTTAAATACCCATCGTGGAACCTGTCCAGGCCCTGAACAACGTGGGCTATGGGGAGAAATTTGGGAGAACTGCATGACAGGTTTTAGCAAGGTCTTTCTCAAAACCAGCAAGTCACATTATCCAGAGATAGTAGGAACTGCAGATGCTGGAGAATCCGAGACAACAAGGTGCAGGGCTGGATGAACACAGCAGGCCAAGCAGCATCATAGGAGCAGAGAGGCTGACGTTTC